AAAAGGTCCTTGCTTTTGGAGAAAAATTTCCAAACTGGTCCTGCCAGCTGCCTCATTTCTGCTTTCAGCCCCTGGGTACTCTTCGCTTTACCCCTCCTCTCTCTACGGCTGCCAACTAGATTCCTACCATGCTTGTGTCCTATCCTCTCCTCCCTAACATTAGCTGCAAAGGAATCTGGGATTCTCTACCTCAGACTTCTAGCTCAGGTCTTCTTCCTCACAGCCTCACCTGGGTATAGGGGAAGCGAGTGAACACTGCATGGCGAAAGGCCAGGGCAGCCGCAGTCCCATTTGCACACAGGAGGCACAGCCTAAGGCCCAGGCTGCCCGCCCTGCTGGCTGCAGAGGCCTCTATGGAGGCTTTCAAGTCACTTCTCTCTTCTGACTCCCTCAGAAGCTGCTGGCTGCCCTTTGCCTAGCGGGGCCTCCCTTCACTTGGCAGAATAGACATGGCTGAGCCAGAACTGAGGGATGTGGGCACACCACGTGACTGGGGTCAGCTGACAGCATCCCCTGTGGTAAAGTAGCCTAGGAAAGGTCCAGCTCCAGATACCATAGATAAATAGGGGAAATCACATCTCCAAGGGGCCAGGTAGTCTCTTTGAAGCTTCTAGGATGTGAGCAGAGGGATCACTGGGAAGGATTACCACAGGGATCTAGCAAAACAAACAAAAAAAAACCCTGTTCTCCTGGGGCCTACATGCCAACACAGAAATGGCAGATGTGAGTGGACAGAAAGGACCTCCTCTTATGTAGCTTCTGTGGACACAGTGTAAAAGTCTCAAAGTCCAAAGGGAAGCCAGAAGAGCAAACAAACAGCCAAGGCCCCAAGGTATGGCCTCTAGCAGAGACATAGGGTGCTGGCCTACCCTGTCAGAAGCTGGGAAGAGTTCCCAGAGGTAGGAAGGCCTGAATGGCCTTTCCAGAACCTTCCATTCACTGTTGTCCACTTACTCTCCAGGCTATAGATGTCAACCTTTAGCCTTCTGGAAGACTGGGGGCAGGAGGGGGGGAAATTCTGGGTACCTAGACTTGGGAGTCTACATGGCCTCCAGAGCTTTCAAGAAATGATTGAAGGTGGGAGGGAAAGTGGGAGAAAAACGAGAGAGGGTAACAATGTTCAACAAGAAATGTACTCATTACCTTACCTATGTAACTGTAATCCCTCTGTACAGCATCTTTACAACAAAATTATATGTGTGTGTGTATATATATATATATATTTTTTTTTTTTTGTTAGTCATGGGGCCTGAACTCTGGGCCTGGGCGCTGTCCCTCAGCTCTTCAGCTCAAGGCTAGCGCTTTACCACTTGAGCCACAGCGCCACTTCCAGCTTTTTCTGCTTATGTGGTGCTGAGGAATCGAACCCAGGATCTCATGCATGCAAGGCAAGCACCTTACCACTGAGCCACCTTCCCAGACCCCTAAAATAAAATTTTTTAAAAAAGAAATGTACTCATTAGCTTATGTAACTTTAGCACTCTTCTGTATAATATTTTTACAATAAAACTAAATTAAAACACCTCTGTGCAACACTTTTACCGTAAATCAAAGTTAAAAAAAAAAAAAAAGATTTAAGGCTGGGAATGCAGCTCAGTGGTAGAGTGCTTGCCCTGGGTTTGATTCTTCAGTAAAAAAATAAAGAACTAAAAGAGAAAAAGAGTATTTTTAAAAAACAAACAATTTAAGGAAAAGTTCATAGTTGCATCATCCAGAAATGTACCCAAAACAGATTGAATAGTGGGTTTTTGGTGTTGGTTGTTTTTTCCTCCAAGTTTGGAATTTCTGAGGTCTAATTTCCTTCATGTGTCACTTCAAGGGAAATCCCATACTTTCACAACACTGGTTCTTGAGTTCAACATGTCTTCCAACCCATCCTCACCCCTGTGATCTTTCTTCATTGTAATCTCCTTGAGGGAACTCTTTTGGACTCTGCGGTTTTCCTCTTATTCTTGCACCCCATCGTGTTTAATGATCACATGGTGCTTCCTCTTGGGCTTCATCCTACTTTTTACCTTGCATTTTGGCCATTGACTCTACAGCCTCAACTATGCCTCTCACCTTCTCTGAGCCTTCTTACTAATCTACAAAATATGGTGCTTTGGAAATGCTGCAATGGCTAGAAGACAGACCCAATATAAGAAGTGATACCTCTTTTCTGGCAAAAAGCCAAAACAAAACCAAATTCAAAACTACTTTGTTCCAGATTCAGCCTCCTCTGGCCTTTGTCCGTGAAGGAAATAGGAAGAAACCACAGGCCTTCTGCCCTTTGTCTCCCAACAGTAAAAACACATCCCTCCAGATCAAGTGACTTCTCCTCCCCTCCATGACTAAGCACTTTTGCAGCCTAGGCCCCACCACCCTGGGACATCAGCAGAGTGCTGAGTCACGGTGGGACAGCAGTCCTGCCCAGCCCCCACTTCCTTTTCACTCTGGAATGAGCTAGTATATTCCAGAAACAACCTACTCTTCTCTGCCTTCCCACAGCTCCTGGCCCTGAGAGGCTGTTTTTCTGGGAGGCCAGCCAAACTGCCGCCTTCTGAAGTCATGAGGAACCAGATGGGTGTGGGGAGGCAGAAGGCCTGTCAACAAAGGCCTAAAGACCAGGCTGCATCGAGACCTTAGACCCTCAGTTCTCCTAAGATGAACAGACCCAAGCAAATACAAACTCACACCTTCCATTTTCCTCCCAGCTGGCCTCTCTCAGTGACCTCAGCATAGTACAAGCTGCCCTTGTCTTGCTATGTCTCTGTCACTGCAGCTGTTCATTTATCTACCCAGCACAGTGCCCCATATGGTTTCATGAAGCCTACTTTATGGCGCAGACAGACTTCTTCCCAGTGGAGTCCAAAATTTTTTTTGGGGGGTGGGAGGGTATTGGGGCTTGAATTCAGGACATCATGTTCTTGCTTAGCTTATTTTTTCAAGGCTAGAGTAGAAAGCCCCACTTCAGCCATGCCTTCCAGCTTTTTTGCTGGTTAACTGGAGATAAAAGTCTCTTGGATTTGTCTGTTCAGGCTGGCTTTGATCTATAACCCTCAGATCTCAGCCTGAGTAGCTAGGATTATACAGGCACAAACAGCACAGGCCAGCTTTGTACTGACTCTTGTCCTCTTGGATGTAATAGAGGCCCAGTCCAAAATCAAGATGACCTGTCCAACAGCCTCACCCTAAATCTGCATTAGCACCCTATATATGGTGACTTTTCATTTTACGGGGGGGGGAGTGGGAGTCCATTTTCTAAAAACATTTTAGGAACATTTTTAATGCATTACCTCCTTATTGTCTCCAGATAAGGTTTAGCCACTTTTTTTTTTTTTATAGCATACATCCTTGCTCCTATATTCTGCCCTTTGCTGCATTTCTCAACATGCCTCCCCTGGTCCCAATGGACACACTGTAAGGACATTTCCACACCTTCACATCTTTGCATATGCTATTCCATCTACTTGGAACTGCCTTGCCCATCTTCCTCCACTTCCCCCAGTAGAAACTTTTTCTTCACATTTAGCCCCCTGACTTACTTTCTTTTTGCCAGTCCTGGGGCTTGAAGTCTGGGCCTGGGCACTGTCTCTGAGCTTCATTTGCTCAAGACTAGCACTCTACTCCTTGAGCCACAACACCACTTCTGGGGTTTTCTGCTTATGTGGAACTAAGAATTCTAACCCAGGGCTTCAGGCATGAAAGGCAAGCCCTCTACCACTAAGCTACCTCCCCAGCCCTATACCCCGACTTTCTATCCAGTCTACATAGAGTACCCCTGTCCAGCAGCACTTCTTGCTTACTTTATCGTAGCTGGGGCACCATTAGATCTTATTCCTAGTTTGTGCTTGGACTACCTGACCTGTAATCTACTCCATAGGTGAAGAGCAGGATAGTAGCTGGGCCCAGTGGAACATGACTCATCCCAGCGACCTTTGGGAGCCTAAAATAGGAGGATCTCAGTCCAGATCAGTCTGAGTTAAAGCAAAAAACGAACAAGCAAAAACCCTCTTTTCAACTGCAATAGAGCTAAAAGAGCTGTTCAAGCACTACAGTGCCTGGTGCCTGCCAGTCAAATATAAAGTCATGAATACAGGCCCCAACACTGCCAAAAATATTTTATCTTTCTGGTTAGTTTTGAAATGAATAACGACCCAAGAAATCTCTGTCATTACACGGGCAATTCGTCTTCATGTTGCAGTAGACTACCTTAGGACGTCTGGAAGGTCTGCTCCCAGTTGCACACGTACACGAGTACCCTGAAAAAGGTCTCCCGTCGACGTCCAAACTCGTGGAAGGGAGTCTGTGTGGCCTCAGGAGCTGCGTGGCCTACCTCCCCTTCTGCTACCCGCAAAGGCACAGCCACAGGTGGACAAGGCCACACGCGGCGGCCTGGCGCCTGCAGGATGTCCTACACCCGCCATCTGCCCCGCAGCCCCAGCCGATCCTCCCCAAGGACACCCGCAAGGGTGACAGAGAAAGACAAAAGAGGCCATCTTGAAATGGGCCTCGGCAACGGAGGAGATGGGTTTGTGCCAGATGGCTTTTTCCAGGTCTCCCCCCCGCCCCCCCGGTCCGTGTGACCCCGGAGCCAGCCTCCTTTCAAGCGCCCCCCCCACCTCCCCGTGGGGATTTCCTCAGAAGCCCCGTGGCCACACACGCTGCACACACGGAGCCATGTTGGCTTTCTGCAGAAACGCGACCCCTGGGCCCCGGGGACAGAAGGGCGCGCGCCCCGGGCTCTGAGTCCCAGCTCCCCGGTGTTTCAGCCCGCAGACTTCGAGTGATTCTTTCTTTCGTATGCCCACTCCTACTTCTACCTCACCCACTCGGTGGGTGAGCCCGCCGGCGTCCCCGCCTCGGCCGCGGGGTGGGGGGAGAGGGGGGCGGGAAAAACGGGGAGGCGGTCACGTGGCCCGCGCGCGCGCCACCGAGAGGGGCGGAGCTCACTGGGCGCACGGTGCTGATTGGTCGGGACGTGTCTGACGCAAACTCCCGCTATAAATACCACACGGCCGGGCTGCCTGCGCAGACGATCCTCGCCGAGAGTCGCCGCGGTTTCCTGCTTCAACAGTGCTTGAACGGAACCCGGCGCTCGACCCCTCCACCTCTCCCATCCCAGCCGCCCGCTCCGAGCCACCAACCTCTCGCCACCTCTTCACCGCGTCCTCGGACCGCCCCCGGGCCTCCGCCGCCACTCCAGCGCCGCGCCGCTACTCCGTCTCTCCTAGCCGCCGCCATGACGACCGCATCCCCTTCGCAGGTGCGCCAGAACTACCACCAGGACTCGGAGGCCGCCATCAACCGCCAGATCAACCTGGAGCTCTACGCCTCCTATGTCTACCTGTCCATGGTGAGCGCGGGGACGCGGGGACCCGGCCGAGGCCGCACCCGCCCTTTCCCCGGGCCCGCTGGGGACCAGGCGGGGTGGGGGTGTGGCCAGACGCGGGCCCGGGCGCCCTCTGGGTAAGAAAATGGAGGCCTCCCCGGCCGGGGAAGTCTCAGGGCGATTGGTGCTTTCCGGCTGTCCCCTAGGAGGACTCCCTCAGGCTAGACCCGTTTCTGCACACTTTGCTCCAAAGAGAGCCCGGTTTCCGAAACCCCACAATTGCACCGCTTTCCCCCCCGCCCCCCTTTCGCCTCCCTTTACGTTCAACTTTGTGGTTAGGTTAGGAAGTTGGATTTTGCACTCTTGGACCCGGTTATTTTTCTGGTCGCCCTTACGCCCTCTTGTCTTGTTTGGATATCCAGCTCCCATCCCCCCCCTCCCCGAGTATGGCAAGGACTGCTGGGTAATGGTGTCCAATGGCAACCTCTGGGGGCTGGTGGGAGGTGGTTTATCTCTTGTGTGCTTGCTTATCCGACCCTCCTGAGCAACAGTCCCTACCTCTGCTCCACTTATCTCTTAGACTCACTTGTGTGGAGGCCTTATCTCTAGAAATCTCTCTGTTACCAAAGTGCCACCATCCTTGCACTTTGGGGTACCTCTTTATCGTTTCATTGCATGAGAGTGTTGGGGTTGTGGCTCCCTAGTTATCGAAACCCACACTTTAGACATGTTCTAATGGATCTGATACAAGTCTGGGTTTCTGTAACTGACATTCCTTCACAAAAATACCAAAAAAAGGGCTGGGAAGGTGGCTCAGTGGTAGAGCACTTGCCTTGCATGCATGAGGCCCTGGGTTCGATTCCTCAGCACCACGTTGCAAAAAGAAAAAAGCTGGAAGTGGTACTGTGGCTCAAGTAGTAGAGCGCTAGCCTTGAGCTGAAGAGCTGAGGGACAGTGCCCAGGCCCAGAGTTCAGGCCCCACTACCGGACCCCCCCCCCAAAAAAAAAAAGTTTTAGATTGAAAGTCAAGTTTTTGCTTTTTCTTAAGTTACAACATACCACCCCCAACGGGAGAATAATTTAAATCAGCAAGCTTCCTGTATACATGGCAGTCTCATGAACTCATTTTAACCATGTTTTAGTATAGTCAGGGTGGAGAGTTAAACTGGACAAAACAGTGCAGGGTGAATGCCCCAGCACCCTCCCTTCAGACAATGAAATTTGGCCCTGCCATAAGAAGTTGTTCTGAAAGAGTACAGATCCATAAGACACTGCTGATGGCAATTCCCATGATGCTGTAAAAGTTCCTTGAAGCAGTAACCTTTGAAGATCAAGTTCAGTTCTCTATTTCATAATGAAAGTAAACTGGTGTTATGCTCACTATAGGAACAAAACCAGCCACAGTCTTCTTTGAGGAAATGCTGAGGGCCAGGGGTGCAAGCACAAGTGGTAAAGCACTTACCTATTAAGCACAAGGTCCTGAGTTCAAACACCACTGCCATGAGAAAGGCAGGCTGTCAGCCATTATTATTCATGGTTGATCCCAGCTGCCTCCTTGTAGGACTTTCCAATACCTAAACGTGTTCTGTTCTGCTCTCAGTCTTACTACTTTGACCGAGATGATGTGGCTTTGAAGAACTTTGCCAAGTATTTCCTTCACCAATCTCATGAGGAGAGAGAACATGCAGAGAAACTGATGAAGCTGCAGAACCAGAGAGGTGGCCGCATCTTCCTGCAGGATATCAAGGTGAGCAGAGGGCCAGTGGTGTGGTCTTACAAGTCAGTAGTTGCTCTTTTATGCCTACTTTCTAATGTAGGAGAATAGTAGTGAGAAAGGTATTACAGCAGACGTTGTTGCTTTGAGAAACTTAATCTTAAATTGGCTTAACTTCCTCTCATTCAGAAACCAGACCGTGATGACTGGGAAAGCGGGCTGAATGCGATGGAGTGTGCGCTGCACTTGGAAAAAAGTGTGAATCAGTCACTACTGGAACTGCACAAACTGGCCACTGACAAAAATGACCCCCATGTGAGTATTGGGAAACCTAGGGGGTACGCAGAGGTAATTGTTTGTCATGGTGGCTGGGAAAGCAGATGACTACTCATTCTTCCTGGGTCTTTTTTTTTGTAGTTGTGTGACTTCATTGAGACTCATTACCTGAATGAGCAGGTGAAATCCATCAAGGAATTGGGTGACCATGTCACCAACTTGCGCAAGATGGGAGCCCCTGAATCTGGCATGGCAGAATATCTCTTTGACAAGCACACTCTGGGAGAAAGTGATGAGAGCTAAGCCTTGGGCTGATTGCCCCAAAGCCACACGTGACTTCTGGTCACCAGGGCAGTGCATGCATGTTTGGGGTTATCATTACCTTTTCTATAAGTTGTACCAGAACATCCTAAATTCTTTTAATTTGTACCATTCCTTCAAATAAAGAAATTTGGTACCTAGCTGTTGTGTTTGTGAAATCTGTTTTATTAAATTTCTTAGTTTAGGAACAATACCAGGTTATAGGTGTGCAAAGTTCACTTAAGACTCCTGATTCTGAATTAATTGTTCTGAGCTACTTGTTTACAGGGATTCATTCCAGCTTAGCTTACATTTTGTTACTGCTGTTAAGACATTTAGAGGCTGAAGTAGTTACTTAATTTTATTATAACCCTTTAATTCAGACTGATTGGGAACATAATCTTCTGTGTTGATAGTTGTATGTCTGCACAACCAGATCAGAGTTCAGTGGCATGCACACTGGCAACCAGGTGTGCCCCTTAGCAAGCAAGCATTTAGGTACAGGCTTCATCCCTGTGGAAGATGTAAGAAAGGTGTGAGAAGATTTTTGTTTTGTTTTTTTGGGGGGGTGGTTGGTCCTAGGGCTTGAACTCAGGGCCTGGGTGCTGTCCCTGGGAGCTCCTGCTCAAATCTAACATTTCACACTTGGGCCATTCTGGCTTTTTCTGGGTAGTTAGTTCACTGGAGATAATAGTCTCATGGACTTTGCCACCAGGGTTGGCTTCAAACAGCAATCGTAAAATCTTGACTCCTGAATAGTTACCACAGGTATGAGCCACTGGCGCCCAACAAATTTTGTAGAAAAGCTGAGGCGGATTTTGGGCCATCTTTCTTATACTAGTTGGGATAGTCTTGCCCAAGAAGCAGAACTGAAATTGTTACCCTATGTTACCCTTTGCGTTTCAATCACAAGCCGTGTGTTGTGACCACAAAAATAGCTTACAGATGTAGAAATGGGAAGTCACACTTCCCATATTGTGATTAGAATGGGGTAGAGTTTCTCATTGGGCAGAGAAGTCTAGAATTGGGAACTCTTGACAGCTGGAGGCTTAAGGAAGTAGTAAAGTTTTAGAAGTATGGGCAGGATCCCTAAAGCATTAATAAAATAATCTCTACCACCTGCCTGCCTTGCTTCTGGACTGGATTGCTTTCCCACCTTGAAGACTAACAAGAGTCACCATCACTTAGACCCTTGGGTATAGTGCATAGAGTCCTAGGCCATTCTTCACAAAATAAAGAAGGCCCTTTGATAACATTGGCCCACCTGAATCTGGTCTGCCACTCTGGGGCTTCCAGGGGAGTGGTGATAAGATCTCGGGTACAGTAAACAGCCACCCTCCTCCTCTAAGTCCATAGTGTGAGGGACCTATGTACCATGCCAGACAACTGGAGGAAGGTTGTTCACAGAGGGGAATGCAATCAACCTGCTTTGGGAGGACATACCTGTTCTCCAAGGCTGAGAAGGGATCTGTGTGATCTTTGAGTATAGTGTGTCGATTTCTTGGTGATTGCTCCAGAAAAGGGTCTCTGAGGTAATTCTTGGGGATCTCTGGCATATGGTTTAGATTAAACTCCACAGTTTTCTTCCTCATGTGACCTTGGTGCGCCATCAAAGTCTCATCATCTGGGAGCAATTCAAAACTTTCCTTAGCCTCAGAAGTCACAGGGTTTAAAAGGCTTTGGTCTTCTGTGTCTGTGCCTGCCATACTGTGAAGCCTCAAGGGTACTGATGGCTCTGGGGGAAAGACAATGGGGGTGTGGCTGAGGGGTGTCTGAGGGGCACTGTGGTAGCCTGGCCTCTCATAGAATGAGGCCGCTTTGAGCGCATCCACCCCCTTAAGTCTCCAAGCTTTGCTGTCTTCTTGTCCCCTTGGATGTTGCTTGGCATTGGTGGGCCGGCCCTCCAGGTACGATTCCTTCCTGGACCTTAGTAACTTGCTCTTGGAGTCTGTCCTGGGAAGACAGTGGTCATGGGACTGCAGCCCTAGGAAGCAGCCAATGATGTCATTGTGAGTGTCCTCCTGGTTTGGCTGAAACTCCATCTCTTCTTTCTGCAGGCTGGCAATAAAAAGAATGGAGACAGTCAGGTCTGAGTGGGTAGACAAAAGCTGACCTTCCCTCCCTGGGTCTGGAGCCAAAGCCACCCATGCATGTGTGCGTGAGCATGTGTGTGTGTGTGTGTGTAATTACTGTTTCACTCAAGACTAGTGTTCTACCACTTGAGCTACAGCTCTACTTCTGGCTTTTTAGTAGTTCGTCAGAGATCATTTTCACAAACTTTCCTGTCCTAGCTAACTTCAAACTACAATCCTCAGATCTCAGCCCCCTGAGTAGCTAGGATTATTGGCATGAGCCACCAGTACCTGGCTCTGTCTTCTTCCAATGAATGGCCCAACTCTCCCCTGACATCCCCGCAACTCCTTCCAGGCTCACTCACTATTCTGTCTCCTTCTTGCCCACTGTTAACTTCCAACTCCCCAGGCTGGCATGTAAGAGTTTCTTCCTGCTAAAACCTCTTATCCTAGGCAAGAGGAACTCCTGGTCCCCCTGGGACATTCACAGTAGGTCCAAGAGTGACAATCCCTTGAGCAAGACAAAGGGATTTGTGGTTCCTCAAGAGATTTTTTTTTGGGGGGGGAGTCCAGTCGTGGGGCCTGAACTCTGGGCCTGGGCGCTGTCCCTCAGCTCTTCAGCTCAAGGCTAGCTCTACCACTTGAGCCACAGCACTACGTCCGGCTTTTTTCTTATGTGGTGCTGAGGAATCGAACCCAGGGCCTCGAGCATGCAACGCAAGTGCTCTACCACTGAGCCACCTTCCCAGCCCCTCCTCAAGGGATTTTTAGAAGCAACACCTGCCAAGAAAGACATTTGGTTTCGCAGCAGACCTGCTGTGGCCCCAAGACCTTCCCTCTGCAAGAGAGAGCTCACCTACTCCAGAGTGGCCTGCCCTTGCACACATCCAAGTCCTCCATGCTCCAAGGCCTAACTTTAGGTTCAGGAGATCTCCCACCCACCCAAAGGCAATCTCCAGTCTCCATCCTGTCCCTTCCTAAGCATTCTCTTCTCTATGCCTTGTTCCTAAAGTTTGGGGCCTTGAGTATTACTACACACTTGTGTGTTCCTTGCAGGCAACGTCTATGCACTACCCTCCCCTCCCCACCCTAACCTTCAAGTGTGGGAGTGCAGACAATGGAAGGCTCCAGGGCAACCTCCAGAAATGTTTCTGACCTAAGCAAACTGAAATGGGACTTGGCAGAGGAAATTGGGTCAGTACTGGGGCCTGAACTCAGGGCCCAAGCACCGTTTCTTAGCTTTTTCACTCAAGGCTATTGGTGCTCTACCACTTGAGCCACAACTCCAATTCCAGCTCTTTGGTGGCTAGAGAGAAGGGTCTTACGGACTTTCCTATCTAGGCTGGCTTTGAACTGCAATCCTCAGATATCAGCCTCCTGAGGAGCTAGGATTATAGACACGAGCCACCAGTGTCTGGCTTGCAAAGTGTACCTAGGAGGTGCTGAATGGCCCCGCTCCTGTTAAGCTCCCAGTTTGTCAGAAAGCAAAGATCAGGACAGAGTCAGGGAACAGGCTCTAAGCTCCCACTGGGTGCTCAGCTGCCCTTGAGCATGTCTCTTTTCTCTCTGGGCCTCAGTTGTGGTATAAGAATGCAATGGTTGGGGCTGGGAAGGTGGCTCAGTGGTAGAGCACTTGCCTTGCATGCATGAGGCCCTGGGTTCGATTCCTCAGCACCACATAAGCAAAAAGAAAAAAGCTGGAAGTGGTGCTGTGGCTCAAGTGGTAGAGCGTTAGCCTTGAGCTGAAGAGCTGAGGGACAGCGCCCAGGCCCAGAGTTCAGGCCCCATGACCAGACCCCAAAAAAAGAATGCAATGGTTGCAGGGCGTGGTGGCTCAGGCCTGTAATCCTAGCTACTCAGGAGGCTAAGATCTGAGGATCATGGTTCAAAGTCAGCTCAGGAAGAAAAGGCCATGAGATTCTTATCTCCAATAAGCCACTCAGAAAACTGGAAGTGGTGCTGTGGTTCAAGTGGTATAGTGCTAGCCTTGAGCTGAAGAGCTGAGAGACAGCACCCAGGCTCAGAGTTCAAGCCCCATGACCGACAAAAGAAAAAAAAATGCAATGGTGGGACTGGGAATGTGGCTTAGTGGTAAAATGCCTGTCTAGCATACTGAAGCCCTAGGTTCGATTCCTCAGTACCACATAAACAGAAAAAGCCAGAAGTGGTGTTGTGGCTCAAGTGGTGGAGTGCTAGCTTTGAGCAAAAGATGCTCAAGGACAGTGCCCAGGCCGTGAGTTCAAGCCCTAGGACTGGCAAAAAAAAAAAAAAAGAATGTGATGGTAGAGGCAGACATACCGGGCTCAAATGTGCCCTTTGCTAGCTATGTGGCTTTGGACCAGACAACTTAGCTAACCTCTTTGAGACCTAATTGTCTGAAAACTGGAGATAACAAACTAGCATAATTGGGGAGGAAAAACAAAGACATGTTTCTAAAGAGCCTCCTATATTGCCTGGCCCTTATTAGGCATCGTAATTATATATTATTAACAAAGGCTATTCTAAGTTGCTAAGCAACCTGCACCTCAGGGATTTGCCACCCAAGTTTCTGGCACAGCTCACCTGATATTGAAGGTAGAGCCCAAAAAGGAAGGTTGGCGTGACTGGGCAGAGGCAGCCGTGTAGGGGGGATGAGGTTCCATCTCATTCCAGTACATGTCCCGTTCCAAAGGAGGCAAGTCCTGGTGCATTTCATCCACAGACAACAAGGACACCTGGTCTCCAGAGACAGAGGGGGCAATCCAATAGACAGTTCAGCCTGGGCAGTACCATGCACTTACCTATGACTTAGTGAAGTTACTTTTCTTTCCCCCCCTCTGTGGACCTACCTCAACAGATGCTTCCTTCTATCCTCAAAAGTGGAGATGAGCCTAACAGTGACTCACACCTGTAATCCTAGCTACTTGGAAACTTGATATTGAGAGGATCGTGTTTCCAGGTCAGCCTGGGCAGAAAAGTTCACAGAAATCCCCCATCTCAACCAAGAAGAAAGCTGGGTGCAGTGGTACACGCCTGCCATCCCAGCTATGTAAGAAGCACAAATAGGAGCACTGTGGTCCAAGCCAGCCCAGGCAAAAAGTGAGACCCTA